TGGAATTTAAACTAGTAGTGATTTTTCTTTGCATATCAGACTGGCGTTTCCGCTAGTTTTACCCATGCCGGAAATTTCATCCCAGATAAGTCGCGTGCTGTACAATGGCACGATAAAGATGACGTCATTTTACCGTTATGAATGATTTTGTAATTCATACGCTGTTGAATGAAAGTAGTTACGGTTGTAATGATATAAATTTTCATTGGAAATAAAGATAAAGAATTTAAAATATAATGGAATATGGTAGAATATGCAAGAAAAAACATCTGACATATGTTTGCTGTTCGGATCGGAATATCCGTCCCTCGGTCACCCGCTCGGCAAGCCTCGTTACCGCCCAATGGGCGGGTCACCTCGGGACGGATATTGTGACGTCACGGAAACAATACTTTAAACGTCTGTGATAAATAGAATATTAAATTCGTGTAAGTTAATTACTGTATTTATTGCACTCGTTGAATAAAATAATATTATTCAACTTGTGCAATAAATTCAGTATTGAACTTACACTCATTCATACTGCATTAATTTGTGAGTATGAGTAAAATGTTCACTTATAAAAACGTTAGCATGTTTTCCCTGCAGTGAATTGATTGCTGCAAATATTTCTTATATACAGGCGTCTCATGGCGTCTTCTATAGCAAAACATGGACTTCAAATATACTTAAGGACAATGAAAACGCACGCCCGCACTATATGCATTTTATTACATGAAAACAAAACACTAACGACTCCATTAGATATATATCATAACTTGACTACAAAAAGCAAACTTAACATCTGAAAATAATTCAAAATGTTTAAAATCAAATGTACACCAGTAAATCGAAGAACCTTAGGTGAAAATCCCAAAATCACACTTTTTCATCACAGTAATGCAACTTAACAAAGGCAAAAATCAAAATGAAAATCCAAAACAAAGTCACTCATAAATGTCTATCGGATCTTTGGAAACGACAATATCCTCCATCAGCGTCTCTTACAGATGTACATCGTCGCTTCATAGACCTTACGGTGCGGATAGTCGCATGTGGAATCTGGCGCCATTCGGCCTGTAGTGTAGTGCGAAAACGCTGGTGATGCCGAGAAATTGTAGACCGATGGACACCAAAACGGTTGGCGCTTGGATAATACAAAATTTGATTGTAAGATAGACCAGACTGAATCTCTCCTAAATCTACCCAGAGGTTAATTCTTTGTAGAACCATTGCATACAATTTGCTAGCAAATCTTCAGTATTGTTTGAAATTAAACACCTTTAATAGAGGAAAAGTGTGTATATTCATTTTCAATGTGAGCTCTTACGATTTCTAAAACTGACCATTGGCATAGTTTAATATTCATTTTCATAAACATTTTAATTGCTCATTTGTGTCTAACATTTCTAGAAAGGTGTGAAAAACAAGTTAATAATTAACATTTAAAAAAAAAATTTCATTTCATAAAGTAACCTTGAATTGATTAAATCTGTTTTCTGTTGTGATCTTATCACAATTAGCCAAAAGTGATACTTTTGATTTTTCGGGTACAGTCTTTATCATGCAATAACTTGATTAAAATGCAATAATTTTTCATAACTTTGATATCTAAATGACCGAAATGCATTCGGTTTAATGAAACTGTAAAAAAATATTTAAAATAAATATATTTTCCTTGTTAAAATGCAATTATCCCGACCGTGTGTTTTCATTGTCCTTAAGTATAGCAATTAGCGACTCTGAAAGCAACTACATGTATTGCCTTTTCATAGCAACTATAGACCATTGAATTTCCATAAGAACCATTGTAGTCAAGTCAAGTCAAGTCAAATAGTTTATTAATGTCTCTTCATACGTACAACATGATATAAAACTGTAGTTTAAAACATAATAAAATACGTATGCCTTTCAATACAGAAATATAAGAGACAAATCAATCTATACATTACTTAAAACGTTACATAGCATCTATTTTAAAAGACCAAGTATTGAAATAATGACTTGGCCTAAAATATTGTTAACTATATTTATACAATGTTGTTAATAATGTGAAGTTTAAATGTATATGGATCATGAGGAAACTGTGTGTCCATCTGATACTAGTCTAGTATTATGTATCCAATAAATTTTACACTATTAACAAGTGTGTCACAAAAAAAAGTTATTGACAATAAATTGATCCATTGTTAACTGTTATCTGAAATATCAGCATTAAGTGAAGTTATTTTAGAAACAATTATCCAAACCCCAATGCTTCAAATTGATGCTGATAGTATATATCCACAATTTCAAGTTCTTTATAATTGTGTGCCTGGACTAAAAAATGAAAACTATTTCCTCATTACTTTTCCATATAAGAATGTAGTAATAAAAATAACTACTAATAATACAATTCAAATGTTAAAATAAACACTGTACTATTAAAAAGACATTTACATTATTTACAGTACAGTAAAATTTTCCTTTGTTAAAACAGGCTTTGGCTGTATATTTAACTATGTTTACATCAGTGAATAATATACAAAATTTCTCCTTATCAGATAAATTATCAAACCCATTAAAAACTCCTCTACTCTGTGTGTATAGTTCCTCTCTTATGGAGGTGTACAATGGACATTTCAGTAAAACATGTTCTTCATCTTCAATACAGTTTAAACTATTGAAACAAGTTCTGTCATGTACATTAAGATTTTCATACCGCCCAGTTTCTATTCTAATCGGTGCCACACCGCATCTAAATTTTGCCATAGCACTTCGAAAATGAAATGGAAGTGGTTCTTTAACATAGTGTTCAGTTACAAAATGAGACTTTATAAGTCTGTAAGATCTCAACTTATTACAACCATTACCTCTTACTGAATCAACTCTGTTTACAGTTTGCTTCCATTTATCAATTTCAATCTGTAACAGCTTATTTTCTAAAGTGTCTACAACAGTTTTAGTACATCTATGTAAATTATCTATATTAAACATTCCAATGTTTCTGTACATTTCCATTATACGAAATATTCCTGTTATTCATCTTGTATTAGATGACAATTTAACCCATTCAAAAACTTTTTTATTTAATCTAGAGTCATGCATCTTTAAAAATCTACAATACTGCCTTGTAACAGCACCCCACTGTTTTACAAATATTGGTTTCCAACCCATATCTCAAAGTACAGCAGCATTTGTGGCATGAAAATTACCATACTTCACTCGTGGCAACCGCCACTCATGAAATATTTATTTTCATACCACTCGACGAAAATAAATCATGTATTTATTGAAAAAACTTGAATATCCTCTATATATTAAAATGAAGAATTATAATCTAGAAATTAATAAAGTGTTTTGAAATTCATGCCATCAGGAATAATTGTACCTAGCTTATACATCCATGAAGTTTCTTTTAATAATCTTTGCCAATTATTCTTTACTTTATCAATTGGCATGAATGAAAAATCTTTGACAGAATGCCCTTCAGAATTAAAATGTTCAGATACACTGGTAATAGTGTCAGGAAAGTGTTTAATATCAAATTTGTGACTATTCATTCTTTGGCTACCTTTTTGCTGAGTTTGACCAACATATTGTTTTTTACATTTTTTACAAGTTATAAGATAAATGACATCTAAAGATATACATGAAAAATCACGTTTTATAGGAAATTCTTTAGGTATAGTAGTACTTCAAAAAATTATTAGATTTAACAATATTATTACAATAAGTACAACGAGGTCGACAGCATTTAGAGACTGAACCAACCATGAATGTGGCATTTAAATGAGTATGAACTAAATTGTCTTGTAAATTTCTCGGTCTCTTATAAGCAACAATTGGTTTGTATTTGTATAATTTACGTACACTTTCATTTGGAGAAAATTTCAAAAGGCTCCAATATTGGTTAAATATTTTACCTATATTAAGTAAAGATGGATTATATGTACACACAAAGGGGATAATATTTTCACGTTCTTCTGATTTGTCTTTTAATTTTAATATATCCTCCCTCGATAAGAATCATTGACTTTTCCCTGCAGTGAATTGATTGCTGCAAATATTTCTCATGACGTCTTCTATAGCACAACAGTGACTTTAAATAGTAACTGCTTGCTTTCCAAATCAACCATTTTCACATTCTTCTGATTTGTCTTTTAATTTTAATGTATCCTCACTCGATAAGAACCATTGACTTTCCATAGCAACTGCTTGCTTTCCAAATCAACCATTGACTTCTATAGCAACCAGTGACTTCATAGCAAGTATTTAATTTTCTTAGCAACTTGTGAATCTACCATTGAATTTCACAGAATTCAGTCACTTCCAAGGAAACCATTGATTTTGTATAGCAACCAGTGACTTCCTTAGTAACTATTGTTTTCCCATAGCAAATGCAACCAGTTATGTTTTTATATATACATGCACTATTACAAATATGAACTTTATGATTTAGATTTTATATCTGCTTTCGCAAATAGTTTGCAATATTACTTCTTCGTTCAAAGAAGTTGTATTCAGTTGAGCGATATTAGGGTCATCGTGTCCCTCTTGTTTATTTGAATACAGATTTACCAAAACGCGGATTTCATTCATTATAAGTTAATGGAATGACAGCATGCACTTCCTATTACACCGAAATATTCGTACATGTACAAAGTAACTATTCGCAAATGTTTTTCATTAAAGCAAATGAATATTGTAGTTGAAACTATTTTCTAACTTTAATTTTGACAACGTGAGAACATATAAATAACACTAAATTTTGTGGAGGTATACTGTTCTACTTTTTAACACATGGGTAAGATGTAATACTACCCAAAAGCACCCCCAGTCCAGTCCCTGCTAGACCCCAGAAATTATTAATAAAAGTCAATGTTCATACACATGTACCACTATTGTATTAGTTATAGAAGGGTTTTAGTGTTTTGATTTAGATGTTTTTAATATTGTGCATGCTAAATTCTTTGTACGGTAAACTCATGTTAAACCTCACAATAAAATCAATGTATGTGTTAACATACAGTGTGGGAATTTGTTATCACAGTTAGGAACTTCCTGTCAATGTTATCTCACATTTAAGTAAACGATGGAACGTGGTACATATTAGAATGTAGTGTAATTATTTTACCATTTGGACATTCAATGATTTAATACGTTTCGTGTGATTTAAAACGATTCTATTATACGACATGTATATACAGATTATACAGCTAAATGTATTTTGGATATATATAAAATTAATTATGGATAATGAATGTAATTGAATTTATCCAAAATTAGAATGCGGCCAGACATTTTGCATTTATTATTACAAAATATGCATATTTACAACGGTAAATGTGCATAATTACAAAAATAATGCACTTTAAAAGAAATTCTTAAGGTTGAAGTTATTTATATACATATCAGTTGATATGTCATGCCCACGATCGAAATCGCTTCCTTCAATATCGTGTAGAGATGTGTTACAGAAAGATATAGGACTCAGTCAATCTCAAGATGAGAAATTTAAAATCAGGAGTTCTTTTCATAAGAAAGTAAAATGTTTCTTTAATCGTTGGAAAAAATCGCCAAGTGGAGGAGATATTAAGGATATGACATATGAAGATGTTGACTACATCGAACGGATTACATCTCAAAGCATGCGATCTTACAGCTTTTCTAATGTGCCATTTAAGGTATTCTTTTATTATTCTATATGTAATTATAATAAACTTAGGCAAATTTGACTAGCACATTAAGTAGTAACTAAAAACAGAAATTTTTATAGATGTCACCGTGCATATCCAGTAACGCAGGAATGTGCAAATAACATAAAAGTAACGCGTTATTGCCAAAACGAGTAACACAGTAAGTAAATGAACCAAACTATTTTATTCTAAATCAAATTTAAAGAAATGAATTTGCGCATACGGCTGCTTGGACATTATACTTTAACCAGCATTACAATTTTTTCAGGAATATTCTTTTTTTTATAATTTAGTTTAACCCGGTCATAGGTACAAAGGGGTCGGGGAGCATCCCCAGTGTACCTTACAATTACTGTATCAGTATATATGATATGTAAAGATTATAAATTGTATTAGTTTATAACATTTGTGTAAAGCAACATATTAATAAGTTCATAAACACTTAAGAGTTCGTATAGATCATTATTATTTTTTTATACTACAAACTTTCAAACCTTTAAAAAGAATGGAAATTTTAAGATGTATCTGTATATTCAAAGAATAGTTAATTATATAAATAGAATGAGTTCAGAGAGATTCTTGTAATTTGCAATGAAAAAAAATGAGTAAAATAATGAGATCGAAAAACCTTGCTTTAAAAATTCCTTCAGTTGATACAATGTTATCTGACTTGTGGATATTTTTAATTTCTTAATTACTGTTTTGATATTTGGAGGAATGTAGCATTAATTGTAAGAATTTTATCAATTTAAGTTTCTTATCTGACCTCTAAAATCCCCATTATTATTTACAAAGTAATGAGAAGAAGTTTTTATAATAACTAGTTGTTGCGCACTCAATAGATTAACAAGAGGGCCAAGAGGGCCCTGGACCGCTCACCTGAGAAATAGGTCAAAAGGTCAAAGTTTAGCCCCTTTTTCACCACAGAAGCACAATTTGAAAACGGACAGCTAAATCTGACAATTTTTGTACACCTTCACCAAAGAGTTTTTTGTGTAAAATTATTTCAAAACTGAACTAGTGGTTAAGATGTTGTTTAGATGTTATTGTTTTCTAATTTTTAACTCTGGCAGCCATTTTATTAAACAGTTCAGCCTGTCACTAAGTGAGAGGTAAGCTGATAAAAAGATGATAGAACAAGAGCCGTCACCTAAGTGACGAATGCCCCCGAAAAGGTTTCTTAAGCATGCAGGTATTATGAAAAGAGAATGGAAGTAACTAATTGCTGAATATTGTTCTTTGTATTATTGTACCTGTAATCTCTAATTGCGATAGCATGAACCTTCAAAATATAAGTGTGACCTTGACCTTTGAAGAAGGGACATGGTTCCTGGACGCGACAAATTGTTGTTATGAGATAGACATTTGTGCCAAATTATTTCAAAATCCCTCAATGCATGACAAAGTTACAGTCTGGACATGATTGTTGAGTAAGTGGGGACACACGGACAGACGGGCATGAGCCTTAGCCGCGACACATTGCCTTGATGTGGTAGACATTTATGCCAAGTTATTTTAAAATCCTTCCATGCATGACAAAGTTACAGTCCGGACATGAATGTGTATCTTCAAACTCTTCTCGAGAGAATGAGTACCTTCAAACTATAAGTGTGACCTTGACCTTGAAGGTAGGGACATGGGTCTTTGTCGCGACATGTCGTCTTGATGTGGTAGACATTTATGACTAGTTATTTTAAAATCCTTCGATGCATGGCAAAGTTACAGCCCGGACACGAATGTGTGTACCTATAAACTCTAATTGTGATAAAGTGAACTTCAAAATGGTAGTGTAACCTTGAACTTTGAGGTAGGGACGTAATTATTGGTCTTGATGTGGTAGACATTTATGCCTAGTTATTTTAAAATCATTCGATGCATTACAAAGTTACAGTCACCTTTTTACTCTTATTGCGATAATGTGAAACTTCAAAATGATAGTGTGACCTTGACCTTTGAGGTAGAGACGTAATTCTTGGACGCGGCACATCGTCTTGATGTGGTAGACATTTGTGCCAAGTTAATTCAAAATACCTCAATGTATGACAAAGTTACAGTCCGAACACGAATGAAGTGGGACAGACGGACAGATAAACGGTGCGATTATATTATGCCTCCCTTCAGGAGCATGAAAGAGAGGGAAAACAAACATTTGACATGGCTGGGAATTTAACTGATGACCTCGATCCCCTGGGGCGGGGCCAATTTTGACCCTAAGGGTTTAATTTCAACAAACATGGTAGACATATACTAGAACATGTTTCATGCCAAATATCTAAACTTTAGGTCTTTAGGATTTTTACAAGAAGATTTTTTAAGATTTTACTATATATATGTATATATAAAGAAAATCAATGATCCCCATGGCTGGGTCAAGTTTGACTCTAGGGCTTTTATTTGAACAAACTTGGTAGACATCCACTAGAAGATGTTTCATGCCAAATATCTAATCTATAGCGGTTTTGGATTGTCACAAGAAGATTTTTAAGATTTTACTATATACTTATAAGGAAAATCAATGATCCCCTGGGCGGGGTTGAATTTTGACCCTAGGGATTTTATTGAGACAAACTTGGTAAACATCTATTAGAAAATGTCACATGCCAAATATCTAAGCTCTACCTCTTTTGATTTTTACAAGACGATTTTTTAAAGTTTTTACTATAATTATACATATTAGGAAAATCAATGATCCCTGGGGCGGGGGCAATTTTGACCCTAAGGCTTTTATTAGAACAAACTTGGTAGACATCCACTAGAAAATTTTCAATGCCAAATATCTAAGCTCTAGAGATAGAGTTTGGTGCCATCTATGCGTGTTTAACCTGAGTATCTTAAGACTTGATTTAAAACTAATAACACTTTCTTTTCTGCTGGTATGGATGAGATAGCAGGAATATGTTTACTTCTTTAGATCATTCTTGAGAAAGACAACCTAATTACCGTTTCAAAGGCGACTTTTGTGTTTCGTCAAATAAATATGTTCATTTTACACATTCAAAACATTTTTTTTCATATTCTGTAAACCTTAGACATTTGTCAAACTTCAAGTGTCGTATAACAATGGAAGGAAGCTGGAAAAATAAGATTTAGCTACTTTTAATGAGATAACTGCCGTTGCTCCAGTGCTTTATTCGCGAATTCGGCGTTACGTCGTAAAAATGGTCTCAATTACGTTTCATCTGCTAAATTAAGTGTAATTTGCCACGAGTAGATTGGAAAAAGTCCCAGGTACATCGAATGTAAAAATCATAAAGTAATGTGTATTATTATTATTTTTATTATTATTAGTCAGGTCGTCATTTTCACGAATGATCTTGAAAAAAAACAACACTTTTTTATGGAAACTTTTTTGATAGCGTTTAAATTATAATGTTTCAGCAACTGTATGCGCTAATTCATTTCTTCCAATTAGGTGTACAATAAAAAATATTGGTCCATTTACCATTTAGCCACTTAATTGCACAATTCCTGCCTGTTTGACAAAAACTAACCTCGGTTATCGGTTATTGAACGAAGTGCGAAGTGAACGCTGCAATCACGGTGGGCATTTTTTTTGACTAAGTAAGTGTGTTCATCCAGAAGCAGTGCGTCACCTTATCTATGGAAGCCCTGGAGGGACATTTGAACTTAATATTTAAAACTTAAAACTTATTATTTAATTCTTAATATTTAAAATTTAATTCTTAATATTTAAAAATTAATTCTTAATACTTAAAAATTAAGAACAGAATACATAAGACGCGGGTATTTGAATTCAACGGTCTCTTGCAAAAGGTTGTTACACGAAGAAAAACTGGCTAATTCGATGTAGCTGCTTACAGGTAATTGTCATTATTTATATATACAATAAACATTCCGTTTATTATTATAATTTTATCTGATTGTTATATTTTCCATGCTAACAGTTGAAACGATTAAGATATGTTAGTTTTATCAAAGGCGCCAGATACGGTGCCGCATTTTATTGATTACATGGTGTCAAAAAGCAGCGGTCAATACATTTTGTTCTGGTTGAACTGACAGAAATATACCTGCTAGTCAGGGGGGTTAGGTTTGTCTAACGATAAAATGTTTAGTTGTTGGCAGTGGATAACAATATTTCATGTTTACATCCCCAGCCCTTTGTTTTTATAACGCTATATTTCATTTATTCCTATTTCTTTTAAGGTCGTAAACATGGAGATCCCGTTGATGTTTGCCTTTATCATTTTATTGAAAGTGACTCCTGAGTCAACAGATGTGTCATCTCTATTGCCATCTGGAAACGGAAGCACCAGGTTAGAAGTGATTACGCAGTACTTTCATGCTGACTTCAAGTACGCAGAAAATGTTTTACTTCTCTTTTGTCGCCACAACATACGTCTTGGTCTTCGTCAGTTAAAGAGGATACTTCGTTGTATTAATTAAGGGCGTTACCGTGTCATGTATACTCCACAAGAAATCGTACAAGTACAGTAGAAAAAAATTGCAGTTTAGCAGAGACGGCTTATGGTGCAAAGGTGGATGAATACGTGGATTTGAGAGCTCGTGGACGAATTGATACGTCAAACCCTATTCACGCAGAATGCTTTCGATTTTATGTAACGGATTTTCTTCAAGCGGGACTTTATCGCATTGTATTCACTGGAATTTACACAATGTGAAACCACAGAAACATGTAGACACTTGTACTAGAAGACCAGAAATAAAATGTTGTTTAATGTACTAGAACTATCAGGTTCTACTGATATTGGTGTTAATGTTGATTTGTAGGATATTGAATATGAAACAAATCCAGATGATTGAACATTAGACAATAATATATATACTTTTTAATTAATAAACATTGATGTTCATAGTTTTCCGAAGTATGTGGGTTTTTTATGTTTAACTGCTAGTTTAAATTTCTAGGCTGATCTCGAGTTCGCGTTACTTATTTTTAGAACAGGTCATAAATCAAACGGAAACAATAATAAAAGAACTTAAATACAGACCTCTCTTGAAACTTT